TCTCCCTTCCTCCGAATAAAATGCTGTGAACTCGGACCCAACCAGCTAGAGCCTTTATTGCTCATAATGCGATAAATGGACAAAATAGAAGTGAAAGAAATTATAATACACAAAATGACATAAAAACTTTGCTTCATGCAGAGTTTTGATATTCTTTTGTGCCTTGGAGAAAGAAAGGAAAGAAAATTAGAGAGAGATATTTATATTGAATACTGGGAATATGAATAATAGAATATGCATTCAATTGATTGGAAGAAAAGAAGTGTGTGGAATATTAATCAGAGGTTTTATATTAAATACTAATATTTTATACTTTATTATCGAAAGATAAAAATAAAACAAAGTGTAAGNAAAAATTCCTTTAGATAATTATTTTTTTAATATGTATTGAAAGGAGAAATTTTTATCCATAAAAAGAAGTTAGAAAGATTGAACAAGAAAAAATTTCTTTAGCAAGTAAAGTAATAGAATGTGAAAATTTAAAAAATTGTGAAACCCAAATTAAAATTCTTAATCTCTTGTGCAACATCTATTCTATACATATAATAAAGCTATTTGCTCATATATATAAGTATTTAGATATATCTTAGCAATATCTGCCCAAACGGCTGGACCGAAGCCAAATGGGCTGATTTTTTGTGAGAAAACCCATGGGTAAACAAAGGCTAAAAACAATCCGAAATAAAAAAAAATTACGGGCAACGCTGGGTACTTCGGCTATTCTTCTATATAATAAAGCTCATAGGGGTAACATAGGCTTTAAAAATTGGAATTTTTTTCTCTAAAATTCGAATTTTTTCTATATTTCCACGGGCAACGCCGGGCACTCCAGCTAGTTAACATAAAAATATGCTGGGTTACAGAATGTGAAACAAAATATATCAGATTATTTACACAATAGAACTTATTTCAAGTATTTAAAGAGAGTTGAAGGGAAAGTTTAAACAATGACATTTTCATTTTTTCATTTACTCTTTTACTTCTTGAACCCATGCAGACACTCAAACTATTTAAAGAGAGTGTTCACGAAAGATTAAAGGGGATTTATGTTGATGCTTAAGTCGATAAACGAAAGATAATCTCCTTTTCTAATATTTGGGTATAAAAAGAAATCGATAAAAACCCGTTTACCCATGAGATCCTTTTATCTTTTATATTTTAATAAATAAAGATAAAACTAGCAATTGGGCAAGTTTATGTAGATTTAGTAGGATTTGCAAGTACTGCTCTGTGATCCAAGCTTAACCTGGAGATCTAAACATTCCTGTGGTTCAAACAAGGTTACCAATCAAAATTTTGGGGCATTTCGGTTAAGGATTTCCTAAGTTATGATCGTCGATAATAATAATCAAAGAATACTACTTTCTATTTAGATATATTTTATCATTAAAAACAGTCCTGTAACCTGTATGACCCAAATGGACATAGACTGGAACAAGAATGTAGAGAGAGCATTTAAATAAACAATTTTCTAAGTCGAATGTTAACCCACCAACCTTTTTATCTACCCTATATATGTATAAAATGTGTCGAAATAAACCTAATAGATTTAGTCATTAAAAAGTAATTAAACAAAGCGATATTGTCCATAAAATGGCCCTTAATATTCAAAACGTAGCCTAGCACAAAAGTTGGTGAAAGGGACTGTAGACATAATTACAAATACCTCTCCATATGAAGAGTTACGGTACCCTTCAAATATTTATCTGAGCAACATCGATATCGTGATTTTTTTTTTTCTAAAATTGTCTTGAATTCTGTAAATTTCACTTTTATCTCTGCTGCAAAAAAACCGCAACTCGCAGACTATCGAATTTAGGCAGGGTACCGTTGTGAGTTGAGTATATCCATCTTTTTTTAAAATGTCACTTGAAATTACCTTTTGGCATCAAATGTATACAGAAACTACACTATACAGTATACACGCTTAAGGAATAAAAATGGGTTCAAAAGTCAAAGCTCAATGTAAAACCTGGCCATTTGAACTACGGTGAAATATACACATTTGCAAATATAAATAACTAGGCTTTTAGGGCGCTTCGCACCCATCTTCTATTTCAATTGTGAACATTTTCTCTTTGTGTACTACATTGTAAAACAAAAACAAAAAATACATTTTCAAAAATCGAATTTTGAAAATTCGATCGTCCACAACCACAAAAACTTTGGGCCCGATTGGTTCAGCCGTTTTGACGTTGTTTGGATACAAACAAACAAACAGACAGACAAGCAAAGTATATAGATAGATGTATATATTTCTTATATGAAGAGTGCATTACTTTGATTTAATTGATTGTTCATTCTTATGGATTCTTTTGTTTATGTGCAATTTCCTATTACACTCCTTTGTGTTTAAATTTATAGCTTTTACGTTCCTTTATCTATTATATTTTTCATTGATTTAAGGTTACAAATATATCTATTTTATTATGTGTTTGATGTCATAATTTCAAACTTGGTTTCAGATTTTATGTTTCCGTGTTCCCTGTATCAACCCAACTTTCTCCGTTAAGAATGTTCGTTGTTTAAAGATATTTTAAATCACCTTTTAGGAACATATTGTCTTATTATGGATTTTAAGGACGGAGCCATGACTTCTCCGTTATCCGTCCTACGATCCTATCCTCTCCTCAGCTTGTAATAACCAAGTCCCTCTTGTAACAAGCAACGGTATCAAGATGAATTCACTACAACTCCATCCTGCTCCAGGGTTAGTGTCCAGGTCTGATTACTCCAGGTCCAGGTGAAAGCTAGGAGTGAACACTGAGAACCTGGAGAGATTACTGTTTCCCAAGCTTGATACCTGTACGCGCGCGTAGAAGGAAACCACTCTCCCTTCAATACGTGTTTGTGCACGCACAGACGCACACACACACACTCAAATCATTACGGGACTCTCAACCCCCCCCCCCTCAAACAACCGCCCCCGCATATAATGCACACTTCCCTCTTACGCCCTAATGTAACCCTCCTGCCCCCCCCCCCCCTGTGCAATTTCATTTTAAATCAAATAGGTTGTCAAGTACAATAGATGGCAACACAGAAAGCGTACACTTTTATTACAGCTGTTTGCGTACACTTTTATTACAGCTGTATGCATACATTTTTATTACAGCTGTTTGCGTACACTTTCATTACAACTGTTTGCCGTACATTTTTATTACAGCTGTTTCTAAGAAATAAGTTTCAACTCAATTTCTGTGTCTGACAAAACTATAAATAAAAGTGATATTGTTAGACTTTTAATGCTTATCTTTCAGTGAAATTATAGTGGAATTTTATGTGTTCTTTTTTTCTGTTCTTACACTTTTTCATTTAACGTTCTATTGACTAAATAACAGGGTTGAAACTGATATTTTACATGACCCTTTAACATTTTAATTCGAAAATATAACGTTAAAACATATTTCAAAAATGTTAATGATATATTCGGGGAAGTGCTCTAGAAAGGTTTAATCGAGGATAAATCCCTCTATTTGTTTTAAATGATGTTTTCGTATTTTTACTTCTCGCTATATCATGTTCGGTATAAAAAAGCAATCTGTAAATCAATCTATGCTTGAACAGGTTTAGACAAATCGGAACTTTTATTGAAACAAAAAAAAAAATACGGACTTACATCAGGGGACTATTCACAAATATTCGTTTAGAGGTATACAATGTACATTTGCAAAATGCTTTATGTAATACAGATTGAAAATAACTGAGAGCGTGATGTATATTAAAGGGACTGTAAACCTAATTTCAAGTTACACATTGATTGATTATATATAGTTAATATTTCATAATATTTTTAATTTCTTTTTTATATATAATTTTCGCTGGCGCTGGATTTTCGAACATTCCTGGAAAATATGAAAATGTCGTCTTCATTATCAAAAATCTTGAAACAGGAATATGTGTTTTCAAAAGTAATTCTCAGATCACGAAAAATACAAAATATTATGAAATATCAACTATTTACGAATGCGTCGAAAAATAATCGATGACTATTGTTTGTAATATCTGAATGATTTGTTTGGAATTAAATAGATTTTTTTACGATCCGAGTTGAATGTTGCATCTTTCTGAATTTGTATGGACACTACGTTCTTCGGTATTAGTCGTTTTTAACTATTTTCTCCTTATAGACGCAACAGATAGAAGTAAGATTAGCAGCAATCAAAGGCGCTTTTTTATCGCATTAAGCCTATACCCCTTTCATTTTTTGCGAACACTCCCTTTAACAGACATAGATCTGTTGGATATGGTAGCATGTTGAAACATGTACAAGAGAGGGTCACACGCCCATCTCTAAAAAGATATTCATGTTTTTCTTTATTAAAGACTGATTATTTTCATTTTTGGTTTCTATTTAATTTCTTGCTCAGAAAAAAGGAGGAATTATCAGAATTAAACACTTTTCAAGCAAGGAAAACGATGTTATCTCTCACATTATCAAGGTTTTTAGGGTACCTCTGATCGAACATGCCCTTCTTTTAAAATTGAAGATCACTTCACACTTCAACAATAAATATAAATTTAAGAGTTTCACCTTTTTGATGGATGACATTTTTAGTTTTTGCTGAGGAATAAGTGAAAAAATATCAAGTTGATAAGATCACATAAAACTTTGATAGCAACTCATATAGCTTTGAAGAGAGACAATCAAGAACAAAAAAATTTAGTCTTTGCCATTCTCTGATTTTCTAATCCAAACCATGAATTCCGTTAGATCACATAATCTAAGATTAAAATATCTGTGATCAACACAATCAGGTTTCAAAGATATAGGCATTTTTTTGTTTCCATAATAGAATCGGATAGCTAACAGGTTTTTATAAATAGGTAATACAATTCTTTTAAATGAATTTATGAAAATTATCTATTACTGTGATATGCATAGTTTATATACCTTATATTGAACTTTCTTCAAATCTATGGCAATCCTTACAGAAACTTTTGTTTCATTTTGTAAAACTTTTTTTTCTTTTCAGACAACTTTTATAGAGAAGGCATAACATTATTTGTATTTATCGACGCCGTTTTAGTTTCAGTAGAAGTAAATATTTATATTTACTGTTTAGCCCCGATATAAGGATTCATCTTTAATTGGATTATGAGATAAATAGATGATACTGCCATGCAATTTCTATTGGTTCAGAATAGACACCAAACACTGACATCGCATCGCATACAAGTGTGACGCGTGTAGCAAAACAGAAACAGTCTCTTTTCTTCTGCTAGCTACACCGCATTCAGTCACAAGTTTTGATATCCCTGATATTACGAGCGAACTAGAAAATCTTGTTTTCCGTCTCTTCTTCAGAACCTATTATAGTAGAAGTTGGAGTAATTGTATCCTCTTCAGTTCACATTCTACGCTCCGACATAATTCTCAAACATGTGAGTTCATTTCCGCATTATCAGAAAAGATGAAAATGTGAATTCGCAGTGTTTCCCGCCGACAATAATTTTCATCTAACAAATTTGATTGAACACCGGAGCCAAATTCAAATTACCACCATAGTTCTTCAAAAGGAATTGAGTCTACGTAACCAGTTTTGATTTTCTAATCTCTATATCTTTGCAACCCAATATTGGAGACCCTTAATATTTCTAATTATGAATTCTGTTGGATCAAATAGTCCAAGCTTAAAATATCAAAAGTTTAAACCATCAGGGTTGAAACAAGGAGTATGAAATAGAAGGGAGATACAACTGACGCGGTCCGCCCTACCATATGATTATACATGCTTTGCAGACGGTACTCCATTTGTATAAGAAAGATTTGTTTGATGTATAAAGCATGTATAATCATATGGTAGGGCGGGCTGCATCAGTTGTATCTCCCTTCTATTTCATACTCCTTGGGTTGAAAAGATATAAGGATAACAAAATTTGAGTTTGTGGCAAAAACTCAATTCCATTTGTTAGATGAAATTTATCCTTGATCAAAATATACTTATGCTATTTATTTTAACTTTAGTCCCGTAGATATTCGAAATATTATTCCTTTAAAGTATTGTCGACATGATTTCAAGTGACCCTCTGTAAACTATTTACATGTATTATTCACAACGGTACCCGTTTAACAACCTTTCTTTGAGAAATACTCAAGAAAATGTTTACATCATAATTATAGAAAAATTCCGTCAATGCCCTTCCTTATCTATGCTGCATTAATTCGCAGGTCGCGTTTATTGAGAAACTGTAATGGACAAATAATTATTTTAAAACAGACAAACACGAATTTTCTTTTAGATTTGAGGTCAAAGTTTAAAGGGTACTTTTGTCAAGTTGTCAAGAACTGTTTAAAGGGACTGTCCTTGTAAACTTAAATGACCCTACATTTAGAGAGACAAGTGATTAATTCTGAAAATAAAATGGCGAATAATCAATATGAATATCTATCTTCTTCTTGATTAAACGACGCTTTTAAGGGTACCGTTGTGAATCGGACATGTCACTTAATAAATGGGAGTTTCTTGAAATTACTGTTACAGCCACCTTGGAATTACAGTCATTTAAGAGTAACTTATTGCAACCTGTAACGATTGAGACTCTTTTATCAATCAAAGAAAGCGTTTAACTTATTATGTCGTAAACGCATTGCAATCTATTGACGGCATGTTGCAAAAACAATTGCTTTTGGCAATAAAATAAAACCCCGTTAAGAATGGCCGGGTGATGATAACTGTGCCTGTTCCTGGTTAACTTAACAGTTCTTGGAGGACTAAATGTAACCCCCCCCCCCCCTATTTTAAAATTTCTTAATTTTAATCTAGGAAAAAGGGCAGCTTTATAAGACGTGAAATCAATTATAATTTAGGCTTGGACATTTTTTTAATGCGTTTGAAATTGTTCGCTCTAAGTAAAATGATTAGATTGGTATGGATCCAGAGTCCGAAGTTTAAAAGAGTATTGTGAACGAAACTCCCGAGTTTCCTTTTCGGTGTCTTCACATTTGTGTAGATTTTGGTTTAAGTGTTTCGAAGAAAAAGGAGAATATGAAGAAACTAAATAAAATCATATTTCATAACAAAGATATAGATTTCCAATTAACTGCATAGCCCCGGCCATTCGTAAAACCCGGGATCCAAAACTGGTTTTCATAACGATACCCTGCCTTAAGTAATATTATAAGGGATTTAAAGTTTCAAATCAAATATTTCTGAATAAGTAAATATATACTTCACACTTTGCCTGAGCAGGCTTTAGGTTTGAAAAAAGTGTATTGAACTAATATCTTCTGAATCTTAACGGAAAATATCTGATGATATAAGAATAGTATTTAGGAAAATCCCAAAAGTATGTCCAAGGCAATTATTTTATATTTTCGCGGATTTTCTCATTTTCTTGGACATACTTTTTGGATTTTCCTAAATACTATTCCTAAATCATCAGATATTTTCCGTTAAGATTCCGTACACTTTTTTCAAGCCTGCTCAGACTAAGTGTAGCTATCAATACATGCATTGCTTAATTACCGGACGTATTATTTCCTGAAAATAGATTTTTGTGCTGAATAGAAATAGATATTGACGATCCTGTAACTTCTAAATCCGTTAAACTTGAGATTATGTTGGGTGATGAATGATGTAACCATGTTCAACAGATCAATTCTTCACGTAGGAATTATTTCATAACATTTTTTGACTGAACTCTGTTTCAGCAGGACGGTCAAGTTCATAGTTCAGATTTTCTATCCCTATTCCCGACCATTAAAATATGGAAATGTATGGATTAGTCGGATAAGTCTCCAATTTAGAATCAAAATACCCTTTTCCATGTTCCAAGGCAAATAAGAAGATATTATCGGAGTTTGTTTTAATATCTAGCTGTTTCTTTTTTGCTTTTAAAACAAAAGGACAGAAAACGGAAATCTTGATCTTTTTATTTGACAGAAACTCCGGAGATAAAACAAGAATTTATGCGCACATATATATATATATATATATTCTTTATTTTCATTCTTATCCAACTCATCCATTTCCTCAATCCATCCTTCTTGTTCAATCTATCCTTCTCATCCAATTCATCCTTCTCCTTCATTCCATCCTACTTCCCCAATCTATCCTAGACTTCTCCAATCCATCCTATTTCTCCAGTTCATCCTACTTCTCCATTCCATCCTACTTCTCCATTCCATCCTACTTTTCCAATCCATTCTTCTTCTCCAATCCATCCAACTTCTCCAATCCATTATTCTTCTTCAATCCAACCTACTTCTCCAATCCATCCTACTTCTCCAATTCATTCTTCTTCAATTCATCCTACTTCTCCAATCCATCCTACTTCTCCAATCCATCCTACTTCTCCAATCCATCCTTCCCCTCCAATCCATCCTACTTCTCGAATTCATCATACTTCTCCAATCCAGTCTTCTTCTTCAATCCATCCTATTTCTCTAATCCATCCTACTTCTCAAATTCATCCTACTTCTCAAATTCATCCTACTTCTCAAATTCATCCTACTTCTCAAATTCATCCTACTTCTCTAATATATCCTACTTCTAAAATTCATCCTACTTCTCCAATCCATCCTACTTCTCCAATCCATCCTACTTCTCCAATCCATTCGACTTCTCCAATTCATCCTACTTCTCCTATCCATCCTACTTTTCCAATCCATCCTACTTCTCCAATCCATCCTACTTCTCCAATCCATCCTACTTCTTCAATCCATCCTACTGCTCCAATCCATCTTACTTCTCCAATCCATCCTACTTCTCCAATCTATCCTTCTCCTCTTATCCATGGGAGTTACTGGTTTTCCTTGCTACAATCCATCAATCCCTTCTATCCAATCTTCTTTTTCCAAAATTTGAATAAAAATATGTTTAAACTAGTTCATATTTAATCCTAGAATAATGATGAGAGGATTTATTTTCAATATTTTCATATTTGTAATTCCTGGGAAGTTGGCATTAACAAAAATGTTATAAATCACTTAAAACGGTGTTTTTTTAATTTAAAGTAATGCATTACATGAATTCTGTATTGTTCCACTTTTAAGTGGAATAACTTGAGAAATTTTTGATTGAGGAATAAGAAAAGGTGGAGGGGGGGAAAAAATTATATCTACGGTGTCAAAGGTTTACACCATCAGGTTGCTAAGATAATATGGTTATTAAATTAGAGCTTAAAACAAGTGCTCAGTGCTTTTCTTCTTTTAACCCTATTCCTGCTTGGGGGGGGGGGGGTCGATTGACCCTCCCCCTGTAGTATTTTTTACATAATTCGAAAAATGTTCTGACTTTTCCCAAATTTAAATGGGCTTTTATAACTGAGATCTCAGGCACACTGCTGACTACTTTTTCCAATAAAAAACTAAATTTTGTTTTGACCCACTTTCAGTTGTCAGAATTCAATAATTTTTAGCGTTTTGAAAGCAGATTGCACAAGTTTTGCAATAAAAATTGCCGATTATTTGCAAACACCTCGTAGAGAGAAATTTGCACATTTTTAGTTTTTCTTAATCACACATCAGGTTATTAAAATATTTTCAAATTTAAAATGGTATGTTCAAGGGCTTTTCAAAAATGTATATTTTATTATTCTTGGACCTTTTTTGCAAACATATATAAACTATATAACTGGATTTTGCAATAAAACATTTAATGATTTTTGAAAATTTGAAACTTATTTGCATGCTCTAATAGTAGCAAAAGAGCTTTCCAATGATGTATCATTATTTATATTTGGACATCAAACATCGATTTAGAGGGGGGGGGGGTCAAATTGCCCCCCCCCTGCAGTACTGGTTTTCAAGTACCCCCATCAGTAATAGGTTTAAAAGCCTTATATTGTTATATGTTTTGTGTATGTACATAACAAACGAAGTCGAAATGTCATAAAAATAGCCTGGATAACCAAACCAAATATAAAACACATTTTCACAGCAAAATTCAAAAACTTTTAGATGAGCTTTTTATTCGTACAACAAATATACACTGAACAGTGTATATTCGTACAGCAAATATACACTGTACAGTGTATATTCGTACAACAAATATACACTGTACAGTGTACATACACGTTACAAACGAAATTGCTCTGTAAAATTTGTATTATTCACCCAAAACTAGGACAATAAAGTTAGTTTATGTATAAAATCTGCGTATCATACGGTATTTAGAATTCATTTCTCTTTTTCTTCTAAAAGATATTTTGCAGGTTTAATGAAATTCAGATTCCAACACGTAAATATCTATTTCTAAGAACAGGCTAAAAACAAGGTTTTGTGAAATCTGTTTAGAGTTAAAAACTAGCTCACATCGCCTGATTTATTAAAACAACTTTAATTTAGCTGCTGTCGAACTAGTTTTAAATATATTCTATTATATTTCAATTCAATGGACTTTAATATAATTCTAAATAGTCGTACATACAGGCTAGTTTCAGGCACATGAGACTTTCAACTTAAATATAGAAATATTAAAACTTTATTACTAATTTAATTAAAAAACTTTATCAGATTATTTTTAAAAGGAATTGAGCCACAAATTCAAAATTTCCAAACCCTATGTCTTTGCAACCAGAGATGGAATTTAAAGAATTTGAGCCGCGGTTTAAATCCGCCAAAACCCGGTTTAAATTAAGCGCCGGCTTAAATCTTGAAACATTTGATACAATTTTAAGTGGAACCAACCATATTTAAACCGCGGCTTAAATTTAAACCGCTGCTCAAATTCTTTAAATTCGGCCACTAATTGTATAGACTTTAATATTTAAAATTTAGATTCTTTGAGTCAGCAGAATTCAAAGTTTGAAATATCTAAGCTCCATAACATTAGGTTGCAAAGATAAAAGGATTAGAAAATCAGTCAATCAGTCAGTGGCAAAGAGTCAATTCCGCTTCCCCCTGCATTCACGTGAAAACTGTTAAAACATGGAAGAATATAAAGATAATTTGCTTGAAACATAATATTAAAACCTATATTTGAAAAAAGAAAGTCGTATGTTATTTGAATTTCAATGCTTCCTCTGTGCCTGAGCTAAATAATTTATTGTCAGTATTATTGAAAACATATTCGTGTCAACATACCTATAGTTAAACTTGAAATTTATAGCGCTTTGTGCCACTTAATTTCTTAAGGGATCGTTAATGAATTATTAGGTGTTTCTTCATTAAAGGGACTGTAGTAGTAATTTCAATTGATTCTTCATTATAAGGACAGTGGTACCGTTAACAAATTTTTCTTATCAAGAATGAAGAAAATATTCATATTCAAATTCATTACTTTAGATCGTGCTTTCTCTACATAATGTGACTTGCGTGCATTTTGCCTCACAAATAATGGGAGGCAATTATCAGAATTAAACACTGTTCAAGCTAGAAAAACAAAGATATTTTCCACAATGTTGAGTACCGTTGTGTATCGGACATTTAATGGAGGGTCATTTGAAATCACTGTCCCTTTATGCGAGATAAGTATACAATGTCGTCTTCTTGAGATATATTGTAGCACTCATGCATGATCCACAATTCTTGAAACAATAATCATGATGTCTTCCTAGTCTTGGCATTTTTAAAATGTGGTCTGCTTTTGTGTGTTTTCTGAATTCGTGGATATAAAAATATTGCTCGGCCGGTTTTCAATCTAATCAATAAAATCGTCTCAACTTCCAGAATCGTTTTTGACACGCACTTTGTGATTGAATGCTATGGAAGATCAAAGACGATATTAAAAGTCATCTCTCAGTTTTTTGTTAATTAATGCAATCACAAACTAGGTTCACTTGACAGGCTGTTACGGTAAATTAAGACTATACCGATGTCCTTGCACAGGTTTGGATCATGCTATACTTTTGAACTCATGTGAATGATACACGCTGTTGTTAAGCTAAAGGCCTCTAAGGAAGATCAAATGGGCGATTTCCAAGGGGGGGGGGGCTGGGCCCTGGGCTTTTAAGATTATCTAGAGGATTTCCCCGGGGTGGTCGGAGCCTAGGTTATCGTCCCGGGGCGTCTATTAATCAATCAAAATTCGATATCCCCATTTTCTCTACTGACGTAGTCGACAATAATCCGAAACAGGTTTATTTCCAACCTAAAATAATTACATGTTTTAACAATGAAATATTTTTATAAATAGTTGACATAAATGGTTAAAAATAGTAATGGGTTTTTAAATATCTTACTAGTAGGTGAAAGTAGATTAAATGGGGGTTCTACTGATCAGGAATAAAACATTTAAACTTCTGAAAATAAATATCCATTTGGTTACAAAATTTTGTTGTTCACTACAAAATCACGAATTTTAGGCTTTGACTATTATTGAAATGTGTTCACTGCTCAAGTTGGTATATATTTTGTCGGAGTCTAAGAAAGATTGGGTTTGGGTTTACCAGAGAATAATTTTGGTCATAGTCGACCTTACAACGGAGTAAGATATGCAGGTTAATGGTTTACAGCTGTATATTGGATTTAAAACATGCATAAGCATAGGTTTTATAAGGCTAGAACAGAGATAAGAGAATAAATAGCCTAGAAGTTAAAACTGGCACGTCGACAATATAGACATTTTTCAATTACCTTAAAAACTAATTTTGGTCGAAGGTCTATTTTAGAATGTAAAACTCTTTTCCAAATGATGAAGTTGGAAAAAAAAACTTTCTTTAAAGATAAAAATTAAATTTAACGCAAATTATCTAATGCAAAAACAAATTATGAAACTAGTTTTATTCACATATGTTACAGGGTGTCCCACGAAACATGACAGTTGGTAAATAGTTTTAAATGTCTTCTTCCATGGTTTGTAAAGTTGTCTAATACCAAAGAGAATAATAATAAATATTATATGGCTGCAGTCACGGTATAGTAAAATTGATTTCAAAGTAAAATGTATTTAAGTAAAAGATTTTTTAAATCAAAATAAACTGCAAAACGCATATGTAATACTGTATATGGAAGAAGACATTCAAAACTATAAAAACACTGTCATGTTTCGTTGGACACCCTGTATATCAAATATGTAATTTATAAGTATAGGTTTCAACAACATAGATAACAAAATTTTGGTTTTTTGTTAAAGATAATGTTCCCCCCCCCCCCCAACAGGCCTGATCAATTACTGTATTCAATCTTTCAATTAAATCTAAATTTTTAGCAATAATGGAATTTTTCCAGCTCTCTTTATTCTAATAAATATTACAATGTTTTTTAATATGGAACAGACTTTCTTATTAAAATTTTATAATTGTCAATTTTCATTTTTAATATGCGTTTCCCGTGGAAAAAAGTAATTCTCAGATCACGAAAAATACAAAATATTTTGAAAATTAAAAATTTCGATTTTTTTAGCCTATAACACCCCTTGCCCACCTATGAGTGTCCACAAAAAATTCAGCTCAAACGGTCCAGCCGTTTGGCCGGCTATAGACAACATATATATACGAATGTCTTGTTTTATTATATAGATGATTGATTTGGTTTCCGGTTTTCGTGTTCCTGGATTTTCCTCATAATTCTCGACCATTGTTAACTTTCATAGAGACTCAAATTATTGCTTCTACAATATAATAAATACGTCCTTATCATGTGACCAGAACTCTGGTCACTGATATGGACGTAATAATTATATTATCAATTATATCTATTAAAGATGAAAAATTAATAAATTCAAATAATAATTGGAGCAAACCTAAGTTACTTAGGCTCCTCTGGGATATCATCGTTTTTAGATTGGTTGCGTTTTTGCTGAATATGATCTGTTTAAACCTACGATTTTTATACAAAAGTTCATATATATAAAGTTTCGTATTTTATTTGGCACAGTTTTATATCAATTTCTCGAGACAGGAACGTTTGATAGAAAAAGCGTCTATTAGGTTATATATAAGAAACTAGAACTCTGTGAATTATCTGAACACCACCTTCATAAATCGATTTATGAATATAAATTAAAAATATTTAGGAATGAGATATCCATTTACACTGTTGATGCCTTCACCAGCTCTCCCTTTACTGGGAACCCTGCAGCTGTCTGCTTACTGGAAGACGACATTTCAGATAATCTTAAACAGAAGATTGCAGCGGAGATGAACATCTCCGAAACTGCATTTGTAACGAAGGCCAAAGGTTCAGATTTCACCTCAGATTCTAACTTTTCTCTCCGCTGGTTTACACCCTCCACTGAGGTTAGATATTTGTAAAAATGCATTTCATGCTGCTCTGGTCTGGCCTCGGGAGATTTTTCAAAATGAAAAGGTTTATTTAGAGAAAAATCAAATACCAGGTAATTCTGCGTCTTATTCCATCCTAAAAACCAATACATGTCTTTTAGTTCTTTTAAACATATTAAAAAATTACCCTAAATATGTTAGTTGTTGATTAGGGAGTTAGCTGAACTAGTCAGAGAACAGGTTCAATTACTTCTTGTGTTGCTACAATCAACTTGAACTCGGTCTTCAAAATAATATTACAATTCACAAGAACGGTGACATGGAAACTGATTTAAAATAAGCGGAAACTAATCAAATTACTCATTTTTTGATGCATTCCACAATTTCTTCGATTTTTTCGGAAATCCATCAAAAGTCAGATTTTGAGAGGTTTCCTCTTTTTTTTTAATCGATTTTCCAAATTTTAGACCCATTTCCGCTTTATTTCAATGAAATATTTTAGAGGGATTTCCCAATATTTTTGAGGGGATTCCCAATATTTTTGGCCGTTTCCTTATATTTTTGATCCTTTTCTGAATTTTCAAAAATTTTCAAAAATCTCAATTTGTTGATCGGTTTCCTCAAATTTTAGGTCCCTTTCCTCATATTTTTGATCCGTTTCCACCTTTTTCAAAAACATTTGAAAATCTCAATTTTTAGGAAACGGATCAACAAATTAAGATTTTTTTTAGTTTTTGAAAAAGCAGAAACGGATCAAAACTATGAGGAAACAGACCTAAAATTATGAGGAAAAAGACATAAAAAAGTAGAAGTGTGATTAGGATGAAAGACATAAAAAAGTAGAAAAGCATTTAACTTAAAATATTGGGAAACAGATACCAAATATTCGGAAATCCCTCAACAATTCTGAACTTTTGAGGGATTTTGAGGGAAAAAAACCGAAATTCCTCAAAAGCAATTTTAGATCCGTTTCTATGTTGGGGCTTCTTCTCGTTATTCATTAACTCCCAACCTAATAAAAGAGATTTAAAAATAAATACTTTCGATACATACAAGGTAGAGGGAGATTTGTAGTGCAAAATATACCTTTTTTGTTCCAAAACTGGTTTTTAAACTTTTAAAATGCTTAAAGGAAAACATATGGTCAGGTTAAAAGAAAGTAAACAAAAACTAGCCAGTATTCATCCTTAATTTTTTGAACAAAAAGTAACAAAAGTAAACCTAACGTGCATGATTAAAAAATAAAGATCTGTACAAGAATGTTTTTTTAGGTGCCATTGTGTGGGCATGCCACATTAGCCGCTGCTACGGTGTTATACCGTGTAGCTGGGAACACAAATCAGCTGATCAGTTTCTCAACCAAAAGCGGAATACTCACAGCTGAAAAAGATGGCGGCATGATAGGTATAATTATGCTTGCTGGGTATCATTAAAAAAGGATTAACCTTTTCAAAGATTTTTTAAACATTCACAGCGCTAGAAGATCTTAACTCTAAGTCCTCAAAGCGAATTGATTTTTTGATTTGAGAATCGACATTTTAACTTAAACAACACTATGCTCATAATAAACCCTCCAGGCAAAGATGGAAAGGCCTAATTCACAACGGTACCCTTAAAATCGTTGTCTAAACAAGTATGCATTAGATATCTATGTTTTTGTTGTTTATCTTCATTTGTGGTCAGCTAGAAGAACGACGTTTTCTTCCACATTTTTATCAGATTGAGGTTTCAAAGGTACTGTTCTAAGTTCCTTTAAAGCATTTTAAAATTTGTTTATTGTTTCTTTTCTTTGTTGCTTTCCTGCTAAAAGTATTTTTGTATTTACTTTTTTGTATGTCCAATCATAACTCAGGAACCTATTGACCGATTTGCCTCAAATTTTGATTAAAAAAACTCGGGAGAACCATAGGAATGTTCTTAGCTGGATTCTAAGTTCAGTGGGTTTTTTAGGGGAAGTACAGTTTCCAGTTGAAGCTGGGTCTCCAAGGACGCAGTAACAAAAGTTATAATACTTTTGAAATAAATATGTTTTTCATAATACGTTTGCCATAATCACAAAAGTCATAAATTACATTTTTCATAGGTTTCAAAGTTCATAACTTTCATTTGTCATAAATACGATTTTTACAGTATAAAAATCATACATTTGTCATAATCATATTTTCATATGATTTCTTTCATATTTTCAAATATATTTACAACACTTGACATGTTATATTTGTATACAAGATTGTCTATTTATCCGACTTAGCAAGTTCACTCGCTAAAAGCTTCAGATAATCATCCTGGGGTACATAATGATAAATGCTGACAATAGTTTGGAGCCTGTTATGTTTCTCTCTGCGACGCTCTCCCCTTTTTTTCGCCGTGATAAGAGCTTCCTTCCCACCTAACCGTTCACATATTCTCCAAACATTTGCCTTTGTGCCAAACTGCAGTTCTTCAGAATCTCTTCATACTATGACAATATAGATACCATGAAATACAGTGGACAGGCAAATTTAAGATTGGACAAAGAAAGTCTCTCAACCCAGAGGTTTTAGCAAGAAAGGAGTTGCTCACCTCTGACAGCTAGGTATAATCCTCCCAAGTACAATTCTTCTGTTGCAGCTTTTACTGGAACATAACTGCAGTAGTTTACCTTGTTGTTGGTGGTGGTGGTGAGGTAATACGTATAGTGGTGAGCATCAACAGCTTTGACAAATCTCACGAATCGATCTCAAATCTCCTAGACAATCCATGGCCAATGCAATTTCCGAGAAAAAATAGTTTGCTAGATTTCTAAGAAAATGGCGGTTTTTCTCCTTTATTAAAAATGTTAAAAATGATTTGTATACTACAAAAATTGCATCTATGACAAATGAAAGTTAGCACTTTTATTATCTATGACTTTTGTAATTTATTAAAAGTGAAACTTGTAAAATTGTATTATGAGAAATGTATTTATGAAAAACATGTTTATGACAAACATATTATGACTTTTGTTACTGCGTCGTTTCCAAGTTGGTTCTAAATAAAATCATTTTGTTAATTAAATATAGATGAACCTAAATTACATTAAACGAAAGCAATGCATGCAATATCTTTCAACCCCTATCCTCCAATTCAATATACTTTAATCAGAATTAGATTTATCTCGTAACAAAAAGTCGGAGCCGGAAATCTAAGAGGAGTATCGTTAAATGAAACTCACGAGTTTTATTTTTCGGGGCCTTTACATTTGTGTAGATTCTTATATAAGAATTAGAAAATGAATAATCAAATGAAATAATGTTTCGAACAAAAAATTGACATAATGTTGGCTCAGGGCGAGTCCCAATATAATAAGAGAATTGTTATTTATTTTATTTGGAATTTTCTTTCTTTAGAGTAAAATTGTAAAATTTCGAGTATATTTCCTTTAGATAAAAAAGGAAAAACAGGATTTTATCCATGAAAATAAAATGATGTAATCTAATATTTACTATTTATATTTATGTGTTTATGTGTTTAAATGTTTATGTGATCAGTTTCAAAGCCAGACATTAACAAATTCCCAAAGGAGAAAACATTTTTCATTTAAAAAAAATCTAATCTTAACAGACATTAACTTATTTACAACTTACTTCTTTCTTTATGGACCCAATGTTCCCCAGGAATTTAGATTATTTTGAGATTAAGAAATCGAGATCATTTTTTTGTTCCTTGTTGTAAAAATTCATTTTTAAACAGATTTCCTTTGTATTCTTTGACGACTTGTTGGAATGAACTTGACACAGCTTTGTCATGTATTGCGAACAAAAATGAATTTGAATTTAAACTTAAACTACATTTTCTGGATAGATTATCGAACTTTGAATGCCACTGGCTATTTTGCTATACTTGTTCAACTCTAGTTTCTTAGATATGGGTTTCCAAGGTCTTAAATATTATCTGAGCTGAAAACTTTAGAATGGTGGATATCGGGATTAAGGCTTAATCCACTCTTTTTCTTAATCTCGAGATTAAGTATTGCTTGTTCTCCACTCATTTTTAATCTCCCATTCAAAAGTTCCCATCTCAGATTAATTATCCGATCAGGATTAAAGATATCTAATTCTAAAGTTTTCAGCTCAGTTCATATTTTTTCATATTGAGTATCATATATACGTATCCTTGTCTGAAGAAATATTTAGCTTAATTTTGACCTTTTATCCTGATCAAAATAACATGTAGTAACAATTTTTCTTGATCAAGAATCAAAGTGATTGAGCCTAAAACTTTTTGTTATTGATTAGATTGAGCCTAACACTTTTTGTTATTGATTAGATTGACACCTTTGTCGCCGCCTCTTGTTTTCCAACCGCCACTTCCGCCGCTACACTCCGACATTTATGTGCTCCATTCATGCACATTGCATTATCGCGAGCCAGGGGAGCTATCTTGTAGCTCCCAGGCCACAATATATTTATAATTGTTTCAATTTGATTCAATATTAAAACTGCTTTTGCTAGAAATATATTTTACAGAAGAAATAAATTGTAAAGAAGAAAAGGACCTTTTTTAAAAATTTCCCAAAATAGACATTTTTAGGTGCATGTGAATTTCATCAATCTTAAAGAGTGTATTTGATGTTGTTATCAAGCAAACAGTTTTTCAATTTTCAATTTGAGTGCAGTAAAGAAAAATATGTAAAACAAAGGCGGCAACATAATTTTTAATATGCTTACTTTTAGTTCTTGATCTTCCCTCCAATCCTCCTGAGGAAGTGAGTGTAGAGGAGTACAGAGATCTCATTCATCTAGTAGCTGGTGATCTCCCAGTCAAACAGGTTTTCGATATAATTTGAATAAATTTAAGATGAAAAAATTTAAAAATTTAAAAATGGATAAATTGAAACTTGAAAAATTGTAAATTAAAAATTGATAAATTGATAAATTGGTAAATTGATAAATTGATAAATTGATAAGTCGATCAATTGATAAATTAATAAATTGATAAATTGATAAATTGATAAATTGATAAATTGATACATTAATAAATTGATAAATTGATAAATTGATAAATTGATAAATTGATAAATTGATAAATTGATAAGTTGATAAATTGATAAATTGATAAATTGATAAATTGATAAATTGATAAATTGATAAATTGATAAATTGATAAATTGATAAATTTATTTTAGTGCTATCTATCCAAACATACCAAAAAACTTCTAGGAAACAACAATATTTGTGTTCATTGAATTTTTACGTGGTCATTTGTAGCGCTTATTATAGATTAAAATTTACAATATTAAACAAACGAAATAATTTAGATGGTCAAAAAACACATGCTTATTTTCTAAAATTTCTAATAAAGGAATTGAGTCCTTGTCACAAACTCTGAATTTATAATCCCTATTTCTTTGGAACCCAATATGTCGTGAATCTTTGATATTTTAAACTTATATTATTTGATCTAACAGAATTCATAGTTTGAAATATCTAAGGTCTACGACATTGTAATCCAAAGATATAGGATTTAGAAAAGCAGAGTTTGTGGCAAAGACTCAATTCCTTTGATACAAATGTTCTAAGTTTTTTATCTTTACAACCTGGAGGTGTAAACCTTTGATATTTCAACTTTAGACAATTTGACTTCACAGAACGCATAGTTTTGACATCCTCAGGTTGCAAAGATATAGATATTATAAAAGTAGATTTTGTACCATGTGGCGAGGAATTGCAGTTTCTTTGCGCGTTCAGAACTATAAAACTGCAGAATAGGAAGACGACATTAAAACAATACTTAAGTGTATCTGTTGTTTTTACAAAACAAAAGAGTTTTACTTGTATGTTACTATAATCACTTTTCTGTTAAAATGGGTCTAATACACTGCATAATTGCTGTGGCTCATGTTCATTGGACTATTTAAATTCATATCTTGAACCTGAAAGTCGTCATCCCATTCCAGAGTATGTTTCTATTAAGCTTTCCATTCGCAATTTAGTCGCAATAATAACGCAAAATTTGATTTGCAGCTTGGTAACTTATCCGATCAAAGGAATTGAGTCTTTGCCACAAACTCTGCTTTTCTAAACCCTATATCTTTGAATTACAATGTCGTAGACCTTAGATATTTTAAACTATGAATTCTGTTAGATCAAAAAATATAAGTTTGAAATATCAAAGATTTACAACATTGGGTTCCAAAGATATACGGATTATAAAATTCAGAGTTTGTGGCAAAGACTCAATTCCTTTTAAATTTACCTGTTTATTACACAACAAAAAGTTCTGTATTAATAAAATAACACAAGTTTTACCGATTGTACTGCAATAGTTGTGCATTTTCTAAAAGGCAATTTTTTATATATTAACAGGAAAACATATTTTCTTTAATATAAATAAATGCAATTCTGAACTAACAAATTTTCCTATAATATAATTAAAAGCTTTGGTGTATGGAAACTGTAAATACTATTTGTAATATGTCTATTAATAGAACGAGATATATGTTTTTATATAAATTTTAAAGTGTTGATTTAATCTCTGTAAATTTTAACAAATTCTCAAAAATTCAAGTTATGATGCAGTTTCTGGATTCAGAATCTTCAGAATAACACTGTACACTGTAATACAGTGCTATCCAGAAACAGAATTATAATTGTCGTCTTCATTCATTCTTTTGATTAAGAATGTTTTTATAAAATTGTCAACGGCAAATTTTTAGAAATTGCTGAGTCACAAATGACAGAATTGTTAGGACATTAATGTTTTCTGGTTATCAAGCTGAATACAATTTTAGAATTTTAGGACTTTTTGATAAAACAATTATTTCTAAGTAAAAAGTTTTTTCAATCTTTCTAATTACTCTTCATACTCATATTCATGTTAGGGGTGAGGAATGTGATGTGATGGGTGGGGAATGTGATGTGAGGGGTGGTGAATGTGATGTGAGGGGTGGGGAATGTGATGTGAGGGGTGGGGAATGTGATGTGAGAAGTGGGAATGTGAGGGGTACGAAGGGGTAGGAAATTGAAAGGTGGGGAGACTGTGGGGTGAGAAATGTGAGCGATGGGGAGGGATTTGTGATGTGAGGGTGGAAGTATGAGGGATAGGAAGGGGGGAAATGTGTGCGATGGGGAATGTGAAGGATGAGGAGGGGGTTTGAAATTTGAGGGTTGGAGGGGAAATATGATAAGTGTGAAGTGTTTAATAACTCAATTAACAAGTTTAGCTTGCACCTAATTACTATCCAGGAATCTGAAATCTTTTAAAGTTTTCAACTATACACTGAGTAGTGAGTAGTGAGTACACAAGCTTTCTCTCTGCTTTCTAAATATTTGAAATCTTGGGGCGAGTTAAGAAGTTTATATAATATAATAAATATATTCATCAAATGAATAAGGAACATGTTCATCAAGTGAATAAGGAAAATATATTCATCAAGTGAATAAGGAGCATATTCATCAAATGAATAAGGAACATATTTATCAAATGAATAGGGAACATATCCATCAAGTAAATAAGGAGCATGTTCATCAAGTGAATAAGGAACATATTCATCAAGTGAATTAGGAACATATTTATCAAGTGAAAAAGGAGCATGCCATTGTTTATCATGTAAATAAGAAAATTTTCATCAAGTAAATACAGAACATGTTGATCAAGTGAATAAGAAACATGTTCATCCAATAAATAAGGAACTTGTCCAATAAGCAAATAAGGAACATATTCATAATTAAATAAGGAATATGTTCTTAAAGTGAACTAGGAACATGTTTATCAATTGAATAAGGAGCATATTCATCAAGTGAATAAGGAACATGTTCATCAAGTGAATAAGGAACATGCTCATCAAGTGAATAAGGAGCATGTTCATCAAATGAATAAGGAGCATATTCATCAAGTGAATAAAGAACATATTCATCAAGTGAATAAGGAACATATATTCATCAAGTGAATAAGGAGCATATTCATCAAATGAATAAGGAACATGTTCATCAAGTAAATAAGGAACATATTCATCAAGTGAATAAGGAACATATATTCATCAAGTGAATAAGGAGCATATTCATCAAATGAATAAGGAACATGTTCATCAAGTGAAAAAGGAGCATATTCATCAAATAAATAAGGAACATGTTCATCAATGAATAAGAAACATCCTCANTAGTATCTCTTGATACAGAGACAATTTTTAAACTTGATCATTATACAATCAAGGTCAGTATCTCTTGATACAGATACAATCCTTAAACTAGATAAGGATACAGTTAAGGTTAGTATCTCCTGATACAGATAAATCCTTAAACTAGATCAGGATACAGTTAAGTTTAGTATCTCTTAATACAGAGATACTTTAACGAGACCAGGATACAGTTAAGGTTAGTATCTCTTGATACAGATACAATCCTAAAACTAGATCAGGATAAATTTATGGTTATAGTATCCTGATACAGATACAATCCTTACACTAGATCAGGATACAGTTAAGGTTAGTATCCTGATACAGATACAATCCTTAAACTAGATAAGGATACAGTTAAGGTTACTATCTCCTTATACAGATTCAATCCTTAAACTAGATCAGGATACAGTTTCGGTTAGTATCTCTTGATACAGATAAATCCTTAAACTAGATGAGGATACAGTTAGGGTTAGTACCTCTTGATCCAGAGATACTTTAACAAGACCAGGATACTGTTAAGGTTAGTATCTCCTGATACAGATACAATCCTTAAACTACATCAGGATACAGTTAAGGTTAGTATCTCCTGATACAGATAGAATACTTAAACTAGATCAAGATACAGTTATGGTTAGTATCTCCTGATACAGATACAATCCGTAAACTTGATCAAGATACAGTTAAGGTTAGTTTCTCCTGATACAAATACAAGTTTTAAACAAGATCAGGATACAATTAAGGTTAGTATCTCTTGATACAGAGACAATTTTTAAACTTGATCATTATACAATCAAGGTCAGTATCTCTTGATACAGATACAATCCTTAAACTAGATAAGGATACAGTTAAGGTTAGTATCTCCTGATACAGATAAATCCTTAAACTAGATCAGGATACAGTTAAGTTTAGTATCTCTTAATACAGAGATACTTTAGCGAGACCAGGATACAGTTAAGGTTAGTATCTCTTGATACAGATACAATCCTAAAACTAGATCAGGATAAAGTTATGGTTAGTATCCTGATACAGATACAATCCTTACACTAGATCAGGATACAGTTAAGGTTAGTATCCTGATACAGATACAATCCTTAAACTAGATCAGGATACAGTTAAGGTTAGTATCCTGATACAGATACAATCCTTAAACTAGATAAGGATACAGTTAAGGTTACTATCTCCTTATACAGATTCAATCCTTAAACTAGATCAGGATACAGTTTCGGTTAGTATCTCTTGATACAGATAAATCCTTAAACTAGATGAGGATACAGTTAGGGTTAGTACCTCTTGATCCAGAGATACTTTAACAAGACCAGGATACTGTTAAGGTTAGTATCTCTTGATACAGATAAATCCTTAAACTAGATCAGGATACAGTTAAGTTTAGTTTCTCTTAATACAGAGATACTTTAACGAGACCAGAGCTGAAAACTTTAGAATGGGATATCCTTAATCCCGATCGGTTAATTAATCTGGATATTAATAACAAGAGGAGAACAAGCATTATTTAATCACAAGAATAAGAAAAAAGAGTGGATCAAACATTAATCCTGATATCCACCATTCAAAAGTTCCCAGCTCTGGATACAGTTAAGGTTAGTATCTCTTGATACAGACCATATTCTTTAACTAGATTGCAGGGTACAGTGTAGAATGAAAAAGAAGATTAGAAAAATATATCTTCTGTTAACACTGTAAAGGTTTTAATGAAATTCTCTTTCTAGGGTGTTATCCTAACTGTGAAAGGACGGGACGAGTACGATTTTTTATCCCGGTATTTTGCTCCATGGGTCGGAATACCAGAGGATCCTGTCACGGGTTCAGCTCATACCGTCCTTACTCCGTACTGGGCACAGATACTCAACAAGTAAATCACTTTTACATGCAGTGGAAGCCATAAAACTATGGTAAAGAAAGACACCAGTTAGACTTAGTTCTGTTTAAAAAGTTGTATGAACTTGAAACGCAGTAATTTTGCAGTGTACATGCAGACTAAGAAATTGAGCCTTTGCCACAACCCCTGATTTTCTAATCCCTATATAATTGCAATTTAATGTCTGAAGACCTTAGATTTTTAAAACTATTAATTGCAATTTAATGTCTGAAGACCCTAGATTTTTAAAATTTTTATAATTCTGTTCGATCAAATAACCTGAGTTTGAAATATAAAAGGTTTACACAATCAGGTTACGAAGATACAGAATTTGAAAAATTTTAGTCTGTGGCAAAGACTCCTTCCTTGGATTCACCGACAAAGGGTCAAACGACCCAGGGTCAAACGACACAGGGTCAAACGACAAAGGGTCAAACGACACAGGGTCAAACGACAAAGGGTCAAAAACGCGACAAAGGGTCAAACGACACAGGGTCAAACGACAGAGGGTAAAAAAATGCGACAAAGGGGCAAATTTTTTTAAATTTTGAAAGTTAGTATTTTTTATTATTATTTAGGATTAGGTTAGGTTCTTTCTGGGCCTAGCGCTGCGGCTAGGACAGGCTAGGGGGCCGAGCGCTGTGGCCACATGGTCAATTATATCCATTTATTTATTATTATTTAGGGTTAGGTTAGGTTAAGACACTTTCTGGGCCGAGCGCTGCGGCTAGGACAGACTGGGGGAGCCGAGCGCTGCGGCCACGGGTTAGGTTAGTTAAGACAATTTCTGGGCCGAGCGCTGCGGCTAGGACAGGCTAGGGGCCGAGCGCTGCCGCCACATGGTCAATTATATCCATGTCTAACATAAGATCCATGTACAAAATTGATAGGAGGGTTGCGAGTTTCCTATGATTCAAATCAAAAAATATTTTTATCATTTAGACAGTTAGATACCTGTTAAGTTGTTATCCATTCTTTTTTACTAACACTGTACAAATTTGTTGACTGAAAAAATAATTATTGGTTTCTATATTTATAATTCAATGCAATGAATATTTTTGTCTACAAAACTATGAAAAAAAGGTTATAAATATACATATAATATAATATAAGCTGCAGCAGAATCCGTCATTTCTTGGTTTACAGTCCCAGTAATATCAGCAAAAACTGCTCTTGGGGCAACTGTAGGCAGGTTTGCAGCAGCCATTATTTTCTCCTGCTCAACAGCTCGAACTTTATTCTTCACAAACCTATTTCCATGGGCATGGTCGGGTTTAACGGACTTAATTATCCCAGATTCATCGATAAGAATGGCTCTAGCATCGCATTTTTCAGCAATCTTATCCCGACACCTCAAATAGCTTACACCCGTCTTCTTGTTTATACTTGTCTTCTTGTAATGATATCCCTGTTCATCTACAATGATCCTACCACCTTGTTTTGCAGCAACAAATGTTGCCAACCCGACCATTATGGAAGCCAGAATCAGACTAAAGTTTTAAATCTTCAAAAAGGTTTTGCGGATTTTTGGGATTAAAAATGCGAGTTTCCTATGATTTAAATCAAAAAATATTTTTATCATTTTGACCTTTTGTCGTTTGACCCTTTGTCGTACTTTTGACCCTTTGTCGTTTGACCCTTTGTCGTTTGACCCTTTGTCGTTTGACCCTTTGTCGTTTGACCCAGTGTCGTTTGACCCTGGGTCGTTTGACCCTTTGTCGGTGAATCCTTCCTTGTACTTGATAAAAGGGCTTAAACCTATTGGTAAAATACAGAAGATTGATTAAATGTCGTCTTCCTATTCCACAGATTTATGGATTCCACCAACCAATCCCATTGAATTCAACAAGAAAACTTTCCAAATCAATTTTCATCTGAAAGAAAATATTGAAAGCTATAAAAGGTTTTAATGGATTAAATTGTTCAAAAATACAAAATCCGAAGAATATGTGGCCAATCGTACTAGTTACTCACCTCAAACTTTAATTTTCTAATTCTAATATTCGCAACCTGATGGTGTAAACCTTTGTGGTTACAAAATTTGATTCTCTTGGATCGAACAGAATTTTATAATTTTATATATCAAAGGTCATTTGGTTTCCAAGATTTAGTGATTTGAAAATTAGATTTTTAAGGTGAGTAATCAGTTCATTTGAATCTTTTATTCTTTTGTATAAAAATAGAAATCCGATCTCAGTTTCTATTGGTTTAATAGATATTTTCCTATATAACCATTATTCAAGATATTTACACTAAACTGAAACTTTCAAGATTCATTAATGTTTTCAACTCAGTTTGCAGAAAACCATTAAAATCAACAAGCTCTTATACGTAATAAAGAACGATCAGCATTTTGCCAGTTGCTCCGAGCAAGAGCTAGCAACAAGCGCGTTGTAGTTTTGAAACGTACACGCCAAAGGCTACAAATAAGTATAAGTCGACCCAGAATTTACGAAGATCTAGAAAGGAATTGAGTCTTTGCCACAAATTCAGTTTTTTTTAACCTATATCTTTGCAACCTTATCATGTAAACCTTTGATAAGTCAAACTTACATTATTTCATAGTTTGAAATATTAAAGGTCTACTACATTGGGTTGCAACGATATTGAAATTAGAAAATCAGAGTTTGTTGCAAAATCTCAATTCCTTTGACTTATTATTTTTCTTTCTGGATCTCTCTGTGATATGAAGACAATCTAAGAAAATGTTAAATTATTTAGTAACAGCTCTAATTAGCTAAAAGTATATTCTTAGACTTCACAAATGGACATATTGCTAACCTCTAACTCGACTTTAAAAATTCCGATAACTTAACTATCTAATGGTGCAATAAATCTTTGATATTTCAAACTTTGCCTTTTTGATCTGGTAGAATTTATTGTATGGAACATCATAGGTTAACGGCATAAGGTTACAAAGGTAAAGAGATTTGAAAATGAGACTTTTGATAGATTTATTTTTATCAAGGACTAAGATGTGTTCTCGGCAGTGCTCTCCAAGGGGTGGAGATCTTAAACTTAACCTAGGTAGGTTTATAAACCTAGGGTTGGACACGTTCCAAATTTTTCTAGCCGTTTTGTTAACAGTTAGTTCCAACTGTTAAAAAAGCAAAATTTCAGGTAGCCGTTAATTGTAAAGGCAAGAACGGAACATTCGTTTCGTTCATGGTATTTACTGTTTTATTTTTAGATTATCGTTAGTTAATTATCCCAATTTTATTAACGACGTTAACAGTAAAGGGATTGATTCTTTGTCACAAACTCTGATTTTATATTAGCTTTATCTTTGCAACCCATTGTCGTAGACCTTAGATATTTCAAACTATGAATTCCGTTAGATTAAACAATCTAAGTTTGAAATATTAAAGATTTACACCATCAGATTGCAAAGATATATTTATTACAAAATTTGAGTTTGTGGCAAAAACTCAATTCCTTTACAACAATCATCAACAGTCTATTACATTATTAACGGTTTGCAATGCAGCCTTTAACGGTCTTTTGTAGTTTTAACGACGTTAACAGTTTGTCAAATCTTTAACGGCACTATAACGGCACGGAACTATATTAATCCTTTTTTGTGGACTAAGCAGTATCTAGATATCAAAATCAACTATAATTATCCTATTCTTCAAGTTTTATGCAATTTTAAGAAGAAGAAAAAGAAATTAATCTTTAAAAAAAATCCATTTCGTTTTCTTTTTCAACCGTTAATTTTTTTCAAAAATGGCTCATTCGTTTCGTTAACGGTCTAGAAATTAACGGTTTTTGCCGTTCGTTGACGGACTCTTTTGTTAATTTTCGAAAACCTCCGTTCATTTAACGGAACTTTACCCAGCAATAAAAAACCTCAAGTTTAGAGAAAGATAGGTTTAGATAGAGAAAGAAGGGTTAAGTGCAAACTCATTTAATCAAAGTGGAATTCAATAATTTTTCATAGATATGTTGTACTTATTATGAAGTTTCGAAAAAATTCGAAATCCGCAAATTCCCTGTAAAACCGGTTTTGGACTTTCTGGCTTTTAGGAACTCAAAAATGAGGGTATCATGTGTTCTTTTCATGAGGCAAACACTCTATTTTGTATTTTAGTATAGATACAAGGCATGATTAGATTTATCTAATCTATATCGATTCTTAGGTTATATTAAACTCTGTTTTAGTGGAGCCAAGAGTTCGTGTTGCCGGGAACTCTGTAGTTGTTCTCTCTGGAACTCTCAGGATTAAATAAAAACTCTTCATATAATTAAACCCAGTTTTCACGTTAAATTAGGGGGTACCGTTTCATTTACTTAAAAGGAATCGAGTCTTTATTATTTTAAAAAATATTCTAATAAATCTAATTTCAGAGAGAATGATACTAAAACCTACTATGTAGGATGTAACAAGCGGAAAATGGTAAGATTTAGACTTCTCATCTAAAATCCAAATTGTCCTGAAGAAATATTATCACTACTCCAAGATTACTACAGATTATCTTCCACTTGTTGTTTAGAGAGGCGCAGAAATTAGGATACGAATATTAAAAGGATAGAAGACAGAAAGGAAAGTAAAGAAAGAGAATTAGATAACGTAGGAGATACAAAAGAGAAAGTTAGAGAAAATTGAGAAAAAATGAATGATAAAGACGAAAGGAAGAGATAGGAAATGAAAAGGAGTTCAAGAAGAGAAGAGAATGAAAGAATAGAGGATAGGAGGAAGAAGAAAAGAGCAGAATTAAAGAGAAGGAAATGAGTAGGATATGATAAGGAATACAGAAGAAAAAGGGAAGGAAAGGCGAAGGATATGAAAAAGAATACAGAAGAAAAAGAGAAGGAAAAGAGAAGGAAAGCAGAATGGAATGAGAGAGAAAAGAGAAGGAAAAAAGAAGAAAAAGAGAAGGAAAGGAGGAGGAAAAAAGAAGTAAAAGAGAAAGAAAGGAGAAGTAAAAGAGATTGAAAACAGAATGGAATGGGAAAGAAAAGAGAAGGAAAAGAGAAGAAAAAGAAGAGGAAAGGAGGAGGAAAAAAGAAGGAAAAGAGAAGGAAAGGAGTAGGAAAAGAGAAGGAAAAGAGGAGGAAAAGAGAAGGAAAAAACGAGGAAAAGAGAAGGAAAAGAGAAGGAAAGGAGAAGAAAAGGAGAAGTAAAAGAGAAGGAAAACAGAATGGAATGAGAAAGAAAAGAGAAGGAAAAAAAGTGAAAAGAAAAGGAAAAGTGAAATCAAAGGAAAAAACGAAAGGAGATAGAAAAGAGAAGAAAAGAGAATAAAAGAGAAGGAAAAAAGATTGAAATGAGAAGGAAAAGAGAAGGAAAAGAGAAGAAGAAGAATAATGAGAACCTAAGTGCGGAATAGAAGTATGAGAGAGAGAGTTGGAGAGACGGAGACAAGAAGAGGAGTCCGTCATGTATTGTATTGGAGGATCGGGAGCGAGGAGATGAAAAAAGGGGAACTTATAACGAGGTTCTATCCGGGTATAGTTCAGAACTAGTAAATCTCTCAGAGTAAGCTCAGAACTAGAGAAACTATCAAGGCGGAGTTGTGGAATGGGCAAAATCTCAGAGTATAGTTCCGAACTAAATAAATTCTCAAGTTGGAGTTCAGAACTATAGTTCAACTCTCTAGGCAGAAATAAGAACTAGTTAAACTCTTGAGTTATAGTTCAGAACTTGTTCAACTCTCTAGGCAGAAATAAGAACTAGTTAAACTCTCGAGTTATAGTTCAGAACTATAGTTCAACTCTCTAGGCAGAGATAAGAACTAGTTAAACTCTCTATAGTTCAGAACTATAGTTCAACTCTCTAGGCAGAGATAAGAACTAGTTAAACTCTCTATGCAGATATTAGAACTAGTTCAACTCTCTAGGCAGAGATAAGAACTAGTTAAACACTGGCGTTATAGTTCAGAACTAGTTAAACTCTCTAGGCAGAGACAAGAACTAGTTAAACTCTCTAGGTAGAGATAAGAACTAGTTAAACTCTCTAGGCAGAGATAAGAACTAGTTAAACTCTCGAGTTATAGCTCAGAACTAGTTAAACTCTCTAGGCAGATAAGAACTAGTTAAACTCTCGAATTTTAGTTTAGAACTTCTCAAGGTATATTTAAGAACTGGTCAAACTATCAATGTATATTTCAGAATAAGATAATCTCTCAAGTTAGAGTTCATAACTAGTCAAAAAGCTCTCAAGGTATATTTAAGCACTAGACAATTAACTCTCATGGTATAGTTCAGAGCTAGGAAAATCCTTACGATATAGTTTCCAACGAGACAAACTCTCATGGTATTGTTCAGAACTTGGAAAACTCTCAAGGTATGGTTTAGAACTATAGTAAAATTCTCAGGTATAGTTCAGAATAAGAAAAACTCTCAAGGTATAGTTTAGAATTAGAAAAACTCTCAAGGTATAGTTTAGAATTAGAAAAACTCTCAAGGTATAGTTTAGAATTAGAAAAGCTATCAAGAATAGTTTAGAATTAGAAAAAGTACCAAGGTATAGCTCAGAATTAGAAAAACTATCAAAGTATAGTTTAGAATTAGAAAAACTCTCAAGGTATAGTTTAGAATTAGAAAAACTACCAAGGTATAGTTCAGAATTAGAAAAACTATCAAGGTAAAGTTCAGAATTAGAAAAACTATCAAGGCGGAGTTGAGGACTAGGCATACTCTCAAGGTATAGTTCAGAACTAAATAAACTAGTTAGATGCAGAACTAGTTAAACTCTCTAGGGAAAGATAAGAACTAGTTAAACTCTCGGATTATAATTTAAAACAATACAAACTCTCAATGTATAATTCAGAACTGGTCAATCTCAAAAAAGGAATACTATCAATGTATAGTTCAAAACTAGGAAAACTATCAATGTATAGTTCAAAACTAGGAAAACTATTAATGTATAGTTCAAAACTAGGAGAACTATTAATGTATAGTTCAAAACTAGGAAAACTATCAATGTATAGTTCAAAACTAGGAAAACTATCAATGTATGTTCAAAAATAGGAGAACTATTAATTAGAACTATAGTAAAACTCTCTAGGTATAGTTCAGAATTAGGTAAACTCTCAAGGTTTAGTTTAGAACTAGGAAAACTCTCAAAGTATAGTTTAGAACTAAAGTAAAACTCAAGGTGTAGCTAAGAAGTAAGCACATTTTCCGACGAACCCCTTCCGAATCATAGAACTCTAGATTTCTCAGAACTCCAGATTATTGGGACAGTTCATAAAGCTTATAATAATAATATTTTTAAAGTTAATAATAATAATACTGGTAAAATTGATAATAATAATATTTATAAAGTTTATAATAACAATAATGACAAAGTTGATAATAATAATGATAACAATAACAACAACAACAATAATAATAATATTAATATTAATAACTAGCTGAAGAGCCCGGCGTTGCCCGTGGAAAACAAATTTTGAAAAAAAATCGAATTTTTTAGACTACAACACCCCCCATCCACCCATGAGTGTCCACAAAAAAAATTCAGCCCAATCGGTCCAGCCGTTCGGCCGGCTATAGGCAACATATATATATATATATATATATGAATGTCTTGTTTTATTATATAGATAATAATAATACTAATAATAATAATAAGAAGAAGAAGAAGAATAATAATAATAATAATACTAATAGTAATAATAGTAATAATATTAATAATAATAACAAAGTTATTACAATGACATTTACAACGTTGATAATAATTATATTTATAAAGTTAATAATAATAATATTTTTAGGTTGCAATTGATCTTAAATATCCTTGAACTGATAAAGATCTTTAAACATGAACTTCAGTGATACATTCTTTAATAATCAAAGTGATCATTACGGTTTTAATAACAGGAGTAAGCTAATAGATCTAGATATGAGTGATCAGTTCGATCTAAAAAACACAAGTGATCTCTTTGATCTAAAGAACTCAGGTGATATGCTTCGACTGAACAATACTGATGATTCCTTTGATCTAAATTTCCCAAATATAAGTTATAATTATGGTTTTGGAAACCTCACCGAAGATTATGGAATAAGTAATCTGTCCTTAGAAAGCCAAGATTACAGGTAATATTCATTTTGTTGAAGGGATTGTAAGCGTAATTTCAAATGGGCCTCCAGGCGAAGAGATGAATTCACGATTTAGAACGGTACCCTTTAAACCTTTAACTTATAATAGAGGGTAGAGAACTCCATGTGTTTATAATTATAGTTTTTTTATATTAAAGGATATTAAACGCTATCGTACAGTGTGAACTCAAAACAGCTGACTTTGTTTATATTCCTCGTAAATCCCGAATATGTTTCAAACATTTTAATTTATGCGATTTCTAGTAAATAAATAAATATCAATATTTCTTAAATATAAAAAGAATAAAGTCCGTCATCCTTGATTATTCATTGTTGTGAATCAAATATGACTTTAAATGAAAGGTAACTTGAGATTGCACCAACAGTCTCTTTAAATACAAAAAAATTTTACTTTCTTTGACAACTGTTTTTTTTCAGTGATCAGATTAACTTCAGTCTTCCTTCTGATATGGTTTTCGGCGAGGCAAATGTTTACTCTATAATCTCCTACTCTATCCTTCTAGTCATAGGAGTAATCAGTAACTCAGTGTCTCTCTATCAACTAGTCAGGTCAACACGGTCGTTGGATACAGGGTGTCCCACTAAACATGATAGTTGAGAGACGACATACAGATCGTCTTCGAGTTTATCATGAGAAAAATGTGTTCTTTCTTAAATGTAATGCATCTCCTGACAAGCTTAAAAACGCGCAACCTTCTTGGACCTTAATTAGATTTCATAGATCAAATACGACCTTTATAAGTCGTCCCTAAACTGTCATGTATAATACTGGGACTCCCTGTATTATGAACTATAATCTTTATAGACTGTATATTTGAAACTATGTATATTTAGAGAACGATTCTACTGGAAGAACAGTATATTTGAAACTATGTATATTTAGAGAACGATTCTACAGGAAGAACAGTATATTTGAAACTATGTGTATTTAGAGAACGATTCTACTGGAAGAACAGTATATTTGAAACTATGTATATTTAGAGAACGGTTCTAATGTAAGAACAGTATATTTGAAACTATGTATATTTAGAGAACGGTTCTACTGGAAGAACAGTATATTTGAAACTATGTATATTTATTGAACGGTTCTACTGGAAGAACAGTATATTTGAAACTAGGTATATTTAGAGGACAGTTCTACTGGAAGAACAGTATATTAGAAACTATGTATATTTATAGAACGGTACTCCAGGGAGAACAGTATATTTGAAACTATGTATATTTATAGAACGGTTCTAATGTTAGAACAGTATATTTGAAACTATGTATATTTAGAGAACGGTTCTAATGTAAGAACAGTATATTTGAAACTATGTAAAGCCCAGCATATTTGAAACTATGTATATTTATAGAACGGTTCTAATGTAAGAACAGTATATTTGAAACTATGTATATTTAGAGAACGGTTCTACTGGAAGAACAGTAAATTTGAAACTATGTATATTTAGAGAACGCTTATACAGGAAGAACAGTATATTTGAAACTATGTGTATTTAGAGAACGGTTCTACAGGAAGCCCAGCATATTTGAAACTATGTATATTTATAGAACGGTTCTAATGTAAGAACAGTATATTTGAAACTATGTATATTTAGAGAACGGTTCTACAGGGAGAACAGTATATTTGAAACTATGTATATTTATAGAACGGTTCTACAGGAAGAACAGTATATTTGAAACTATGTTTATTTTTAGAACGGTTCTACAGGAAGAACAGTATATTAGAAACTATGTATATTTAGAGAACGGTTCTACAGGAAGACCAGTATATTTGAATCTATGTATATTTAGATAACGGTTCTACTGGAAGAACAGTATATTTGAAACTATGTATATTTAGAGAACGGTTCTACAGGAAGACCAGTATATTTGAATCTATGTATATTTAGAGAACGGTTCTACTGGAAGAACAGTATATTAGAAACTATGTATATTTAGAGAACGGTTCTACAGGGAGAACAGTATATTTGAAACTATGTGTATTTAGAGAACGGTTCTACTGGAAGAACAGTATATTAGAAACTATGTATATTTAGAGAACGGTTCTACAGGGAGAACAGTATATTTGAAACTATATTTATTTATAGAACGGTTCTACAGGAAGAACAGTATATTTGAAACTATGTATATTTAGAGAACGGTTCTACTGGAAGAACAGTATATTTGAAACTATGTATATTTAGAGAACGGTTCTACTGGAAGAACAGTATATTTGAATCTATGTATATTTAGAGAACGGTTCTACAGGAAGAACAGGAGCAGAATGATACTTCTCCTTCTGCATTTAACAATAGCCGACCTTTCCGTAAGTAAACAGAGGCTTTTTTCAGGGGTATTATATAGTTGTGAGCCGAACAAAAGGAATAACACTCGAAAGAGGGAAAATAAAGAGGTACAGTTTGTCGGAGACGACCTTTACAACAGGGGAAATTTGAGGGATATGGTTCACAATAGTATATTACATATGTATTTTAACACTGAATTGGGAAAAATAAATTAAAATAAAAAAAATAATCCCTGAGGTTCATTACTTCAAATATGTAAACTGGTTTTAGACATTTACCCCACATGCACAGTGACTAATTTTTTTTTTATTTTGCTTCCATTGAAATTAATATTGGTTAATTTACTAAATTGAAATTATTTATATTTAAGATAAGTCTATTTCCAATCACAATACAAATATTTGTAATATAAAGGTGTAGTTTTAGACATGATAAAAACTTTGTATTTTTATTTAAAATAGTAAGAATAGATAAATTTGGTCAACTTTCTTTTTTTTCTGCTTCAATTAATCCGCCAGTCACAGAGTTTAATATTTCTAAAAATTCTTTTAAAAAACTACTTTTATATTTTCATTAAGTCCCAATATTTCTTCGGTCATTGTACTGCAAATCAGTGCACTACACAACGAAAGCTTATTTTAAGGTGATTTTTCATAAATATATCTGTTCTTGAAATCTAATGTCAGATCAAGACTTGTTTATCTATCTCTGGTTAGAGTTAAGATTGCTCATGACAATTGCAGACAAGATTTTTATCCTCATTTTACTAACAGAATCCCATAAACTAATAAATAGGATTATAATATATATATAATAATATATAATAGGAACTAAGAAGGAACTGAACACTCGGTGCAAGCTCTAATAGGATTATAATATATATAATAATATATAATAGGAACTAAGAAGGAACTGAACACTCGGTACAAGCTCTAATTTTAAAATCCCTATATCTGTGCAACCTTATGGTGTAAACCTTTGATATTTAAAATTTCGACAATTTGCCCCCTAACAGCGTTTATATTTATCAAATTATAATATTTTTGCAAGTGTTCAGTTGAGATCTTTTGTTCAAAGAGATGGCCATAACAGCTAATGAGAAAAACAATTGTTTACATAATACCGTTTTTTGTCTAGGTTATAATGTTTCTGGCTAGGTTATAATGTTTCTGTCTAGGTTATAGTGTTTCTGTTTAGGTTATTATGTTTCTGTTTAGGATATTATGTTTCTGTCTAGGATATTATGTTTCTGTCTAGGCTATTATGTTTTGTCTAGGTTATTTTGTTTCTGTCTAGGATAGTATGTTTCTGTCTAGGTTATTATGTTCCTTTCTAGGTTATTATATTTCTTTCTAGGTTATTTTGTTTCTGTCTAGGATATTATGTTTCTGTCTAGGTTATTTTGTTTCTGTCTAGGATATTATGTTTCTGTCTAAGTTATTTTGTTTCTGTCTAGGATATTGTGTTTCTGACAAGGTAATTATGTTTCTGTCTAGGTTATACAGTTTCTGTCTATATTATGTTCTGTCTATGTTATTATGTTTCTGTCTAAGTTATTTTGTTTCTGTCTAGGATATTGTGTTTCTGACAAGGTAATTATGTTTCTGTCTAGGTTATACAGTTTCTGTCTAGGTTATACAGTTTCTGTCTAGGTTATTATATTTCTGTATAGGTTATGTTTCTATCTAGGTTATTAGGTCTAGGGTATTATGTTTCTGTCTAGGGTATTATGTTTCTGTTTAGGTTATAATGTTTCTGTCTAGGGTATTATATTTCTATATACGTTGCTATGTTTCTATCTAGGTTATAATGTTTTTGTCTAGGTTATAATGTTTCTGTCTAGGTTATTATGTTTCTGTCTAGGTTATTATGTTTCTGTCTAGTTTATTATGTTTCTATCTAGGATATTAGGTCTAGGGTATTATGTTTCTGTCTAGGATATTTTGTTTCTGTCTAGGGTATCATGTTTCTGTCTAGGTTATTATATTTCTGTCTAGGTTATTGTGTTTTTGTCTAGGTTATTATGTTTCTGTCTGGGATATTATGTTTCTGTCTAGGATATTATGTTTCTGTCTAGGATATTATATTTCTGTCCAGGTTATAATGTTTCTGTCTAGGATATTATGTTTCTGTCTAGGATATTATGTTTCTGTCTAGGTTATTATATATCTGTCTAGGTCATAATGTTTCTGTCTAGGTTATCATGTTTCTGTCTAGGATATTATGTTTCTGTCTAGAATATTATGTTTCTGTCTAGGTTTTAATGTTTCTGTCCAAGTTATCATGTTTCTGTTTAGGTTACTATGTTTCTGTCTAGGTTATAATGTTTCTGTCTTCGTTATAATGTTTCTATAAAGGTTATACTATTGCTGTCTAGTTTATTTTGTTTCTGTCTAGGTTATATTGTTTCTGTCTAGGATATTATGTTTCTGTCTAGGATATTATGTTTCTGTCTAGGTTATAATGTTTTTGTCTAGGTAATTATGTTTCTGTCTAGGATATTATGTTTCTGTCTAGGATATTATATTTCTGTCTAGGTTATATTGTTTCTGTTTCGATTATAATGTTTATTTCTAGGTTATTATGTTTCTGTCTAAGTTATAATGTTTCTGTCTAGGATATTATGTTTCTGTTTAGGTTATTATGTTTCTGTCTAGGATATTATGTTTTTGTCTAGGTTATAATGTTTATGTCTAGGATATTATGTTTCTGTCTAGGATATTATGTTTCTGTCTAGGATATTATGTTTCTGTATAGGTTATTATGTTTCTGTCTAGGTTACTATGTTTCTGTCTGGGGTATTATATTTTTATCTAGGGTATTATATTTTTATCTAGGTTATTATGTTTCTGTCTTGGTTATAATGTTTCTATCTAGGTTATTATGTTTCTGTCTAGGTTATTATGTTTCTATCTAGATTATTATGTTTCTGTTTAGGTAATTACAATTCTGTCTATGTTATTATGTTTCTATCTAGGTTATTATGTTTCTGTCTAGGTTATTATAATGCTTCTGTCTAGGTTATTATGTTTCTATCTTGGTTAATATGTTTCTATCTAGTTTATTATGTTTCTATCTTGGTTATTATGTTTTTGTCTAGGTTATTATATTTCTATCTAGCTAGGTTATCATGTTTCTATCTTGGTTAATATGTTTCTGTCTAGGTTATTTCATTTCTATCTAGTTTATTATGTTTCTATCTTGGTTATTATGTTTTTGTCTAGGTTATTATAATTCTATCTAGCTAGGTTATCATGTTTCTATCTTGGTTAATATGTTTCTGTCTAGGTTATTTTATTTCTATCTAGTTTATTATGTTTCTATCTTGGTTATTATGTTTTTGTCTAGGTTATTATATTTCTATCTAGCTAGGTTATTATATTTCTATCTAGATTATTATGTTTCTATCTAGATTATTATGTATTTTATTTCTATCTAGTTTATTATGTTTCTATCTTGGTTATTATGTTTTTGTCTAGGTTATTATATTTCTATCTAGCTAGGTTATTATGTTTCTATCTTGGTTAATATGTTTCCGTCTAGGTTATTATATTTCTATCTATCTAGGTTATCATGTTTCTATCTTGGTTATTATGTTTTTGTCTAGGTTATTATATTTCTATCTAGCTAGGTTATTATGTTTCTATCTTGGTTATTATGTTTCTGTCTAGGTTATTATATTTCTATCTTGGTTATTATGTTTCTATCTAGATTATTATGTTTCTGTTTCTATCTTGGTTATTATGTTTCTGTCTAGGTTATTATATTTCTATCTTGGTTATTATGTTTCTATCTAGATTATTATGTTTCTGTTTAGGTTATTATATTTCTATCTTGGTTATTATGTTTCTATCTAGGTTATTATGTTTCTATCTAGATTATTATGTTTCTGTTTAGGTTATTATATTTCTATCTTGGTTATTATGTTTCTATCTAGATTATTATGTTTCTGTTTAGGTTATTATATTTCTATCTAGCTTATCATGTTTCAGGTTATTATGTTTCTATCTAGGTTATTATGTTTCTTTCTAGGTTATTATGTTTCTATCTAGGTTATTATGTTTCTATCTAGGTTATTATGTTTGCTATTCCTCTGGAGATAGGTTGGTCTGCTACAGTATCTTGGGAGGCAGATGAGATAACATGCAAGCTAGTCGTCTTCCTCAAGTAGGTTTATTAAGTTTCTAGTATCTAGTATCTAGTATCTAGTATCTAGTATCTAGTATCTAGTATCTAGTATCTAGTATCTAGTATCTAGTATCTAGTATCTAGTATCAAGTATCTAGTATCAACTATCTGGTATCTAGTATCTAGTATCTAGTATCTAGTATCTAGTATCGAGTATCAAGTATCTAGTATCAACTATCTGGTATCTAGTATCAAGTATCTAGTATCTAGTATCTAGTATCTAGTATCAAGTATCTAGTATCAAGTATCTAGTATCTAGTATCTAGTATCTAGTATCTAGTATCTGGTATCTAGTATCTATAGTATCTAGTATCTAGTATCTAGTATCTAGTATCTAGTATCTAGTATCTAGTATCTGGTATCTAGTATCAAATATCTAGTATCTAGTATCTAGTATCAAGTATTTAGTATCAAGTATCTTGTGTCAAGTATCTTGTATCAATTATCTAGTATCTAGTATCTAGTATCTAGTATCTAGTATCTGGTATCTAGTATCAAGTATCTAGTATCTAGTATCTAGTATCCAGTATCTAGTATCTAGTATCTAGTATCTAGTATCAAGTATCTAGTATCAAGTATCTAGTATCTAGTATTTAGTATCTAGTATCTGTATCTAGTATCAAGTATATAGTATCTAGTATCTAGTATCTAGTATCTAGTATCTAGTATCTAGTGTCTAGTGTCTAGTATCTAGTATCTAGTATCTAGTATCTAGTATCTAGTATCTAGTATCTAGTATCTAGTATCTAGTATCTTGTATCAGTATCTATACTATATAGTATTTAGTATCTAACATTTACCATCTAATGTTTAATTTTTTAAATTAAATGATTCAAGAAACATAAGATTTCTTAGTTTTCCCGAAGTTTTCATGATAAACAATTGTGTATTTTATGATATTTTAAAGACTCGGTGATGGTGATGGACCAAACCTCTGTAGAGTAAAAAAGTAGATGTTAGTTCCACATTTATTGAAAATTTATTTCGGTCTGGATTGACCCTCGTCAGTTCTTGAGATTGTTTCTTCACAAAGATTAAAAACAAACTGATTATGTTTTTTTATGATATACGATTATGTATTTCATGATATACGATTATGTATTTCATGATATACGATTATATTTTTCATGATATACGATTATGTATTTCATGATATACGATTACGCATTTCATGATATACGATTACGATTATATTTTTCATGATATCATGATATACGATTACGCATTTCATGATATACGATTACGCATTTCATGATATATAATTACGCATTTCATGATATACGATTACGCATTTCATGATATACGATTACGCATTTCATGATATACGATTACGCATTTCATGATATACAATTTCTGAAATTCTGATTAAATTTTTCCTTGTTTCAGAATGTATGGTTTTTTAATATCAAGCTTTATCCTTATTGTGATATCTATAGACAGGTAAACTCTAGGATGGCAAAGTCGTTGTCGTAATTATTAATACAGTGAAGACGACTTTCGATTTTAATTTTGATTTCTACCAATCTTTTAAACAGCAGAGACACGCAAACGTGTAAACAAAGAAAAGTTGTCAATTACAAGTATTTCTTTGTTTACTTGTAAACTTGTGATGTGAAAAATGCTTGTTATGGATACACGCATAATTAATAGAAAGTCGTCGTTAGTGTATTGATATGACTGCCGACCATTGTATATAAGAATAGAAAAGTTCAAATTAACGCAAAAGATAATTGTAAAAATTTATAGTATTGCACAAAAAAAACACCAGTCCTGTAATTTTATTTGTTAAAGTCCTATTGAGTCCTGTAATTTTATTTGTTAAAGTCCTGTTTAGTCCTGTAATTTTATTTGTTAAAGTCCTATTTAGTCCTGTAATTTTATTTCCTATTGAGTCCTGTAATTTTATTTGTTAAAGTCCTATTTTATCCTGTAATTTTATTTCTAAAGTCCTATTATTCCTGTAATTGTATTTGTTAAAGTCCTATTTAGTCCTGTAATTTTATTTGTTAAAGTCCTATTTAGTCCTGTAATTTTATTTGTTAAAGTCCTATTTAGTCCTGTAATTTTATTTGTTAGAGTCCTATTCCTGTAATTTTATTTGTTAAAGTCCTATTGAGTCCTTTTGAGTCCTGTATAATGGTTTAGGTTTGTAGCAGTCCTGTATCCGTTCTACCATCTCACCTCATCCCGGAGAACTAAATATATGCTTTTACTTTCATACATCACAGCAATATGCTGCTCCATACCTCAGGTATCCTGTTCTATCCTGATCTATCCTGATCTATTCTGAGCTATCCTGTTTAAATCCGTTCTTTCCTGATCTCCATACCTCAGGTAACCTGATCTATCCTGATCTATCCTGATCTATCTTGATCTATCCTGATCTATCCTGTTCTATCCTGTTCTATCCTGATCTATCCTGATCTATCCTGATCTATCCTGATCTATCCTGTTCTATCCTGTTCTATCCTGTTCTTTCCTGTTCTACCCTGATCTATCCTGTTCTATCCTATTCTCTCCTGTTCTATCCTGTTCTATCAAAATAAATCTTTGAATTAATATACACTCTGTGTTGTAACAAAATCCTTCCAAGGTCTACTCGTGTCTATATATATATTTACTCACGTCTATTTACAGGGTGAGATATATTTACTCACGTCTATTTACAGGGTGAGATATATTTACTCACGTCTATTTACAGGGTGAGTAAAAATCCGGTGCCCGGAGTTGTCTTCTATATAATATCTAAAGAAATGTTTCAAATATTACATTAATGTAAACTACACCTTGATATAAGAAATTATAAGAAAAGACGACATTAATCCATAATCACACTTTTTTTACTCACTCTGTTTACTTAGTTATATGAATGAAGATACAATGGAGTACAGAAAACCTTAGCAAACAACCATAATCAAAAGTAAACTAAAAAACTGTCCAATAAAAAAATTAAGAATAAATTTAACATAATCAATTCTATATTTATCACAATTTTAGAGCTCACTATATTACGGATACAAATCACTTAATTATGGATGCAGCTCAGTTTATTACTTAAACAGTAACATTTATTATTATATTACGGATACATCTTCCTATATTATGGATACAAATCACTTAATTATGGATGCAGCTCAGTTTATTACTTAAACAGTAACATTTATTATTATATTACGGATACATCTCCCTATATTATGGATACAAATCACTTAATTATGGATGCAGCTCAGTTTATTACTTAAACAGTAACATTTATTATTATATTACGGATACATCTCCCTATATTATGGATACAGCCATAGATAAATAAATAAACATAGATAGCTTATGTACGCAAAATCACCAAGAATTGTACAGTCTGCGAACTCATACTTCTTTGGAGAAAGTGTACTTCAATGATAAAGCGGGGTGGTTTGTTGTTTTAATTTAACCATTTGAACAACAATATTTCACTGAGCAATACATCATATTGACAAGAACTGAAGAAGGACATGAGAAGGACTAAACTAACTTAAATTTCTCTCTGCAGAACTCAAGTACTCAATGACATAAGAACAGCCAATGTTCACAACCGACCTAGTTAATCTAGGAATATCTTTAAAACATCTCTGTACATTTACATCTTTCTAGATGAAAAATGTCGTCTTATGCGCAATCTATCTATATCTATGGATACAGCTCACTTACGGATACAATTCACTATTCTACAAATAAATCTCAATAATTGTCTAAACTTCCAATTTATGTATTTCAGATTTTTGTTTTTGAAGTGCAAACCCATCCCATTGTAGCTTGGTATAAACAGTGTATGACCACTCTCCAGGGAACAGAGGTAATGAAACAAAGAGCTTAAACATCCCAACCTCAGTTAAGCTGTGAACTCAATTATACTGTGGATATCGAGATCAATGCTGGATCTTGATCTTTTATATGATCTGCAGATTAATTTAATCTTTGTTCTATATTCCTTATTATTATTGTTGTCTGGGGGTGAAGCTTTGATTTGGGGTTAATGAGAGCTTTGGCCCAGGGAGAAATTATTATAATTTAAAGAGAAAGCCTTGATCCTCAAACTAAAAGTGCCCACTATGGATATCATGAGCAAGCTATCGGGATTATCAAACACAACAAGTTCCCCAGCTCTGGTTTAGAAAACTTTTTATTAATGTTTATTCTGAAAAAAATGAATAAAATCCCTAAAAGTACTAAAATAAGAATAAAGATTGCATAAATGTATCTTTCCGATACAATAATGTGGTTTTTAAGCTGGAAACTGCATGAAATTATATTTTTTTTAACTTGCATTTGATAAATTTCTTTATATTTTTAGGAGATGTTATATTTCCTGTATTTTTTTGTTCTGTCCTGGTGTTTACCTGTCCTAGTAATGGGAGTCTGCTATTCATCCATAGCAGTTTCTATATATAGACGGGCAGATAGAACTGCACTCAGGTATACAGGGATCAATAAAACTGTGGAATAAGAAGACGATATTTAAGAAATCTTATGTGTTTCATGTTCATGGACTTGAGTCTAACTGTCGTTGTCCTATTTCACAGTTTTATGAGTTCCACTGTATCTATTGTCTAGTGTCTAGTGTTTGGTGTCTGGTGTCCTGTGACTATTGTCTAGTCTCTAGTGTCTATTGTCCTGTATCTATTGTCTAGTGTCTAATGTCTATTTTCTATTGTCTAGTGTCTAATGTCTATTTTCCTGTATCTATTGTTTATTGTATATTGTCTAGTATCTAGTTCTTAGTGACTAGTGTCTAGTGTCCTGTGTCTATTGTGTCTGATGTCAGATGTCTGGTGTCTGGTGTCTTGTGGCTGGTGTCTAATTTTTAGTATCTAGTTTCTAGTGTCGAGTGTCTAGTGTCTAGTTTCTCATGTCCTGTGTCTAGTGTCCTGTGTGTATTGTCTAGTGTCCTGTGTGTATTGTCTAGTGTCTTGTGTTTAGTGTCTAGTGTCTAGTGTCCTGTGTCTAGTGTCTTTTGTCTAGTGTCTAGTGTCTAATGAAAAGTGTCCAGTGTCTAGTGTCTAGTGTCTAGTGTCTAGTGTCTAGTGTCTAGTGTCTAGTGTCTAGTGTCTAGTGTCTAGTGTCTAGTGTCTAGTGTCTAGTG